GCTCCGCGGCATGTGGGATCCTCCCGGACCAGGGCACGAACCCATGTCCCCTGCATCGGCAGGCAGACTGGCAGACTCTCAACCACTGCACCACCAGGGAAGCCCTTAGCAATGATTTTTTTTTTTTTTTGCAGTACATGGGCCTCTCACCGCCGTGGCCTCTCACACGGGCCTCTCTCTGTTGTGGCCTCTCCTGTTGCAGAGCACAGGCTCCGAACACGCAGGCTCAGCGGCCATGGCTCACGAGCCCAGCTGCTCCGCGGCATGTGGGATCCTCCCGGACCAGGGCACGAACCCATGTCCCCTGCATCGGCAGGCAGACTGGCAGACTCTCAACCACTGCACCACCAGGGAAGCCCTTAGCAATGATTTTTTTTTTTTTTTGCAGTACACGGGCCTCTCACCGCCGTGGCCTCTCCCGTTGCGGAGCACAGGCTCCAGATGCGCAGGCTCAGCGGCCACGGCTCACGGGCCCAGCCGGTCCCGGTATGTGGGATCTTCCCGCACCAGGGCACGAACTCGTGCCCTCTGCATCGGCAGGCGGACTCTCAATCACTGCGCCACCAGGGAAGCCCACAATGATTTTTTAAATATGACCTGGCAATGATTTTCTGGATATGACACCAAAAGCACAGGCAACATAAGCAAAAAGAGACAAGTGAGACTACATCAAACTAAAAAGCTTCTGCATAGCAAAGGAAACAATCAACAGTGTAAAAAGGGGATCTGTGAAATAGGAGAAAATATTTGCAAACCAAATATCTGATAAGGGTTAACATCCAAAAGTAAATAAGGAACTCCTACAAGTCAGTAACAAAAAAATCAGATAACCTGATTTAAAAAATGGGTAAGGGACCTGAATAAACATTTCTCCAAAGAAAACATAAAAATGTCCAATATGTATATGAAAAGATGCTTGACATCACTAATCATCAAAGAAATGCAAATCAAAACTACTGTGAGATATCACCTTACACCTGTTAGCATGGCCATTATTAAAAAACAAACCAGAACCAAAAGAAAACAAAACAAGAGTTTTCAAGGATATGGAGAAAAGGGAACCCTTGTAAATGTTGGTGGGAATGTAAAATGGTGCAGCCATTATGGAGACCAGCATGGAAGTTCATCAAATTACTAAAACTAGAACTATTATATGTTCCAGCAATCTCACTTCTGGGTATTTATCAAAAGAATTGAAAACAGGATCCAAGAGATAGTTGTACTCCTATGTTCACTTCAGTATTATTCACAATAGCCAAGAAGTGGAAACACCTAAATATTCACCAGCCTATCAATGGATAAATAAAATGTGGGGTATATACAGTGGAATATTATTCAGCCTTAAAAAAGGAAATCCTGTCATACAGTACATGGGTGAACCTTGAGGGCACTGTGCTAAGAGATATTAACCAGTCACAGAAGGACAAATACTGCATGATTCCATTTTTATGAGGTATCTACTGTAGTCAAACTCACAGAAGCAGAAAGTGGCATGGTGGTGGTCAGGGGCTGGGAGGAGAAGGAAAGGGGGAGTTGCTGTGCAATGGGTACAGAGATTCAGTAATGCAAGATGAAAAAGTTTGAGAGATCTGCTGCACAATGATGCATATATAGTTAATAATACTGTACACTTTAGGGCAGATCTCATGTTACGTGTTTTTTTTACCACAAAAGGGGGGAAATGAAGTTTGTATGACATGACTTGTTCACGATGAATGGATGCCAACTTCTACGGATCAGCATTTCCATCTGCAAGTATTCACATCTTTATGGAATTATCTTTATGGAATTGGATTAACATCAAGCTCCCCAATATGGTTTTCAAAATCCACTATCCCCTTTTTGGAAATCAGAGTGACACCTGTCCATCTTAACCTTCTAGTACCTATCCTTTTATCTAGAATTTCCTAGATTACTTACAGTGGTATAGAAAATACATCTGCAAATTCTCTTAGAACCCTGAAATAAAATTATCCCGGGGCAGAAGAATTGAAATAAATGACAATGATTAGATGCTTACTTGCTTTCTTATATGCTACTTACTTATCTCAATTTCTCTCTCACCAATGGTGTTTGCACCCTTTCCAAGCTAATGTGCATTCTCTCACAGAGAATTAAAACAAAAAATGTTGAGTAATTTTCCTTTCTCTACCTGCTCACATTACACCAAACAGCAGGTCCAAGTTTGTAACAGTACAATTAAAGTAATCAAATGCATGGTACTGTAGATATAAGTTGTGATGATTTACATAAACTTTAAGAATAGAGCTATTAAAATTCTAATTTCACTGCTTACTTTCAAATATGCAGCTGCCTCTTGGACAGAAAGTGTTCTCTGACTAGAACTGCCACATTCATGATCTCCTGGAAAGATTAGCATATTATTAATTTTGAATCAGTACTATGTTAAACAGAAGAAAACAAATATGATTAATCAAACTAGTTTTACAAATTACACAATTATAGATATTATTATAATCAGTAAAGAAAGAAGACAAACACTCATTTATATTTTCTAGAAATAAATTCCAATAGGCAATATAAACAAATATTTTTATATCAACCACAACCTTTAAATGTATTTCAGTCTAGATAGAAACATACATTCCTCTTACATTCCCAGTGAAATTGTTAGCCAGGGGTAGGAACCATGTCATGCTGATGCCTATCCATAGATCTTGGCACAAAGAAAGCCCTCTATAGATGTATTATTTTTCAAGGGGGAAAATTCATTGTGCTAACTCATACATCTATTAACTAAAGCTAATAATTCAAGAGTTCAAGTTTGAATTAAAATGTGCATTTTCGGAGTATTACTAAGCCTATCTTTAGCAAGGAGTATGCATAACTTAAAAAATTATTATAACACAAATCAATAGGGAAATTAGAAGCTTCTACCTATAATCTGGTTTCTACAAATACGTGTACTACATACAAAAGTTTGGAAAACTACATTTTCTTTTTCTTGTAACTATTTATAAAAGAATCCAAAGCCTTTTTTTTCTTTTTCAGGCTACCTGTGGTTATTAGAGATCAATTATCCTTACAAGGAACTTGAATTTTAAGTTTCTCCTACTTGTTTCTTTCAAGTACTTTTTTTAAAAAAATTTAACATACAAGTACAATAATTAAAGTAAAATCCTTGGCAAATTTTTCTATCATAAAAGCAACCATGTTCCTATTTATCGTTTTGTTCAAGTAGCCAGATTTTAATGGTCATGGTTGTAAAACAGGTAGAAATACCTATTAGATGAACATGTAAGTCTTCAAACTTTATAATCCATCCTCAGAGATTCCAATTCCGCAGATCTACAGCAGAGGTTGGCAAACCCACAGACCAAATCTGGCCTACCACCGGTTTTTATAAATGAAGTTTTATTGCAACACAGCCACGCTCATTCATGTATTATCTATGGCTGCTTTCAGGCTCTAACAGCAGAAATGAGTAGTTGTGACAGAGACAGTCTATCCCACAAAGCCTAAAAAATCTACTATCTGGCTCCTTCACAGAAAAAAGTTTGCAGACCCCTGCTGTAGAGGAAGGAATCTATATCTTTAAAAGCACCCCAGACTATGCCGATCTAACACACTTCATAAAACACTGCTATAGAGACAGCTCTAGAAGTTTGTAGCAGCAACATGAGGAATTCCATGTAGATTATATACTTCATTTCTGGGTGCTACAGCATACCAAATAAATGTCATCAGTTTGCAGCATATGTATGTAACAGTCTGTCAGTCAATGCAAAGAAGACTTTTAGTGATATACACACAATTATTAGCCAAAAAAAACCTGACCAGAATTAAGGATCCCCAAAAAACAAAAACAAAGATTGGTGAGAGGATGGGGAACTGTCAGGATTCTCAATGCTTCCATTCGACCAGAGAAGTTCCACATTCACCTACTAGGTTTCTACCAATGATCTAGTTACTACAAAAGGATCTGCTACAAACTAAAGTTTGCAATACTACATTTTTCTTTTCTTGTAACTGTTTATATGAAGAGAATCCAAAGTCTCTTCTTTCAGATTATATGTGAGATAACTGAAAAAAGTTAAAAGGTAATAAACAGATAAGGTGCCACTACAGCTTTTATAAATGCTAAACTTCATGCCAATTCACCTATTTTATTCTAATTGCAGGTATGTTGCATACCTGAGAACTCTCAAAGTCTTACTAAGACCAGAATATGAGGAAAAGGCGATGTTTCAGGAGAAAAAAAATTCTGTAATATATTTACTTTATCCAAGGAAATGACACCTATACAATCACCAAAGGAAAATCTGCACTTCTATATTTAATTGAGGATTTTAGTTAATCCACTGCTTACCCGATTTAACTGATATATAAGCCTTCAGAATTTTGTTATTAGCAATGCAATAAAAAAATGTGCTAACTTTTACCATAGAGTATATATCTAAATTTCATTGTATACATATGGCAGGCAGGAAAAAGGCCTTGATTAAACATATCTATACAGATAAAAACCCACTCCATATAAGGACTAAAAACTTCTAAAGAGAAAACACCCCACAATGTTAACATAACACTGAACTTGAGAAAAACCATTTCTACTGATACTGCATGCTATATATGCAAATTCATTTTCAAAACAATTTTAGAGACTATGAATGTTAAAACAATTACCTGCAAGCCGTGCCAATCGATCATGAAGCTTGTATAAAGTGTTCATCATAAGATTTTTCTCACTTTCCTAAATTTAAAAGAAATTATTATAAAATATCCGATTCCGGGGAGAAAAATGCACCAATTAATAATTTTTATTCGAAAAGAAAAACAGTGAATGAATTTAAAAACCATAGAAGCTACATAATCTGAAAGACAAATTCATATTTAACCAACGGCTACCATATTTTAAAGAAACCTTAATCTAAGAATCTAAACTATCACTCTAAATATTTTACCTTCTTGAGGATGATTGGGAAACTGGCCCTAAGGTTAGTGCTAGTAAAGGTCTTATATACAACAAACTCCCCCAGCCACCAAAACAATGCTCCCAATCCCCCTCTATACAATGCACGCTCACGTGTATTCTTATGAGACTGTTTTCTTCATGTTTTGTTTTAACCTGCCTCAACCACATAATAAGGGAATGAGTAGTGACACTTCAATTAAATTAACCCTCAACCCCTCCTAGGTCCCAAAGTGGCCCTGTATAAATTTATGAACCATTAAAGTGAAACAAACATTTAATGAGCATCTACTACGAGTTAAGAACTGTTCTCAGCAAAGCAAGAAACCCAGGGAACAAGATGGTTCCTGTTCTCAAGGGCAAAAAACATACTAAACGTTATATTATAGTTGCAAACAAGGTACAATGTAAATACAGAAGATGGAGGGGAGGGAAGATCCATTTATGGAAGAGGGAATATCTGAATCGGGCTTCACAGAAAGAATAGAATTGACCAGCATTCCAGGCAGAAGGAACAGCATGGGCCTGAAGGAATAAAACCTTTGGTTATATTTCTTACATAACCAGAGCCTACTTTGACTCAGCAAACTACTAGAAAAGCAGTTTGGAATCAATGGCTAGAGAGCTCTAGATACCAAGACAAAGAGTTTGACTTCATTCTGAACATTTAGGACAAGAAAAGTAAAACAGAACTGTGCATCAGGAATACTATTCTGACCATATGAAAGGAAACCAGCATGGAGACTACTGCAATGTCTGAGCACCCTGACAAGTAGTCTAAAGCAATGAGACCTCAATTTAAGAGCAATCACAATTAAGAGAAACTGATACAAGCAACGGGGGAGGATAGGTTAGGAGACGGGGTAAGAATAGCTTATCACACTATTTGAAATAAACTCATGATTTATGAGGGGGCTATGTCTTTATTATTTCCTTTCTCCTTAAGTTTCTAACAAAATAGGATTACTGTATGAATATGACCAGGAACAAATTCAGACAGGAGAGTAAAAAAGCTGGGAAAGTAAAATTCATATGCCCAATGACATGTAATCTCATCCATTTGTTTTCACGCTATATGTTCAAGGACAGAAGAGACAAGTCTGCACACTGGATGGCATGCTTTTATCAATGCAGCTTTAATGAGTGGTACTAGGAAGAGAAAAACTCATCAAAGCCTCCATAATCCTACCACCAGAGTCCCTGGCTTTATGTGAGATGGTTGCTAGAGATAAGTGACATTCCTCCAGCTGACTACTTGCCTTCCAACCCATTTGCTTTTTACCCCCTCAACTCTATCTCAACCTGATTCAGAATCAAGCTAGTCCTTATCACATAAGCTTAAAAATCCAAACTTCAAAAATTAGACATCAAAAAGTAACCGCAGGGGCTGAAATTCAAGATTCTGAAAGCTATGCATCTGTGACAGATTAAACCACAAAATTGTTTTTTAATAAATATGTTCAATATAACAAGATGAGGAGTTCCAATGATAGTGTAGGTTGTGGACTTGACATATAAGACCAAGGTAAATCTGATTAAGCTTCAGGACTAAAGTGGTTGAGAGTTTTGAAGTTTGTTTCCTTCCTTAACTGGAAAAGAGACCGATTCCCTTTTCGTTTTGCATGTCCTGATCATGCCTATCCCCACACCCCTTTCAAAACCAAAACTAAACCCAAAAATTTGACACTGTCCTCTGTGATTACATCTTTAATGAACATCAGAGGCCTGGGAATAAACTTCATCTATTGATTCACATATATTAACCCTGGACTAGGACTTCCCTGGTGGTGCAGTGGTTAAGAATCTCCCTGCCAATGCAGGGGACATGGGTTCGATATCTCGTCCAGGAAGATCCGACATGCCATGGAGCAACTAAGCCCGTGCACCACAATTACTGAGCCTATGCTCTAGAGCCCACGAGCCACAACTACTGAGCCCGCGCGCCACAACTACTGAGCCCACACGCTCTAGGGATTGCGTGCTGCTACTGAGCCACATGCTGCAACTACTGAAGCCCGTGCGACTAGAACCCATGCTCCACAACAAGAGAAGCCACCACACAGCAACAAAGAGTAGCCCCTGCTCACCACAACTAGAGAAAGCCTGTGTGCAACAACGAAGACCCAGTGCAGCCAAAAAACAAATAAATACATTAAAAACAACAACAACAAAAAACACTGGACTAGACAAGTAGAATAAATAACAAAACCTAATCATATGTAACTGGATCTCATACTGGATAACATATATGCTATTCCATTCGCATACAATGCATTTAAACACCCAAAAAGCTCAGCTATAATTTTTTCAAGAATTATTTTTCCAACGGCAACTCATTCAAAATGACCATCTATATATTACAAGGGTGTCAAGTGCCATCCAAATTATCAACTAAATTACGACCTAAATAGTTTTTATGGAACATTTTAATAACGGGAACAAATCAATTTTGAGAAATAGAAAGGTTCAATAATCTTTAGCAGCAATATGCTAAACTAGAAGTAAATCCGAAAAGGGTGTAAATCAAATGTTAAAGTTACTTTCTTACAGAAACTTATATTGGCTTATAGTTTCATTACAAACTTCTTCGATTCTGTCTGCTTTTCAGATTGCCTCCTAATATTCAGCTTGAAATGTGTCTACTGATCACCCTGAAAACAAGTTAAAGATCTACAAATAAATCCATATTTAAAGTAAGCTTTCAAGTAACCTTCCATTAAACATAGCTACCTTCTAATTACGTGTTTTGGTAAGCTCCAAATAGCTACCTTCTAATTACGTGTTTTGGTAAGCTCCAGATTTTTTTTACTAGCACAAATCATTCTCTGAAGCAAAGTTCTCATTCTTGGGGGAAAAACCAAACTGTAGGGTGACTCTACCAAATTTTCTCACATATTATCACCTTTAAATATTTCCTTCTTGTATCTCAGCCAATTTTCTCAAGGATATTTTCAATTTTTGTATCAAGTCCCTGATTAAATGATATTAATGGATTTTAAACACTTAGCATAGTGCCTGGCACAGAATAAACACTTAATGTAAGTTAACTGCCATTATCTTCATTACAATTATTATTATTATTTAGAGATTAGGAACTTCAGGTTCCCCCAAGGGGAAAATTATACAGAAGAAAATAAAGTCTTGTCTTTTCAATGTTCAGTGAGTATATTGTGCAAATTTAAATTATGATGCCAGCAGCAATGTTATACTTAATGATAAAGTCAACTTTCTAAAAAAAATAATACAACAATAGAATACTACAGAAAATAATCATTACTAACAATCTAAAGTAACATTCTATGGATCTGATTACACATTATTACATATCATTTAGTACAACAAATAATGTTTTCTGTACAGGTCTGTATTACTGTCAGTTCCTATAATAAAAAAAAAATTAACAACTAATTGTGTATTATAATATAAACTCAAATATCATAATCTTTGGAGTGCCTATAATGAATGGTAAGTGAAAAATATTTTCATGTGAGTAAAACTTAGGTTAAAATTAATATTATAAATCCTTTAAAAATAAAAGGAATCATAAATAAGTTGCATAAAACTCTAAATCCTTTGCCTTCCTGACAGTTGAAAAGGCATGCCAATGAGCAAAAATTCGAAAGAGAACAAAAGGAGGGCAAAAAAGACAAAAACTGCTAGGGTACCCAACAATTAAGAAAACAGGCGTACTTTTAAGGGTAAGGCCAGATCCCCAGATGACATGCCACTGCCATTTTACTTGGCAGTGGCTTTTACCTCAAAGTGATAAACAGGTCAGCTCTTAGGTGGAAATTGGTGTCAGATTTAATTATACTGTGGTCAAGGAATACTCAAAAATAAGAAAATTTATTGCCTTTAAAATTACTACTTTTTAGGTGATAGTCATCCTACTACCTTTATCATATAAAACGTAAGACAAAGTATCAGTATTAAGATTTTTTACTTACTTTTATTTTTCCAAATGTTTCATCAAAGGGGTTTTTTACTATCAAGGAAAGAAAAAGAGAGAACTATTAGCATCATTTAAGAATGAGAATTAGAATCCCCCTAAACAAGCCCTCGGAAATGCCAACATGTACTATGCTAAAACTGAATGTAAACATGCAAACAATACATAAACAAACTGATGATAATAAAGGTTGGGGAACTAATTTTTCAGACTTACTATATTTACCATTCTCACTATGATTTTGTGGTTTGCTCTATAATACTTAGAGTGACTTGGTTCAAGTCCTAGCTCCACTACTTACTAGCAATGTGGCCTTGAACTACCATCTATTTAGCCACTCTAAGTTGTAGTTTCCTCTTCTGTAATGGAAGGATGTAATGATGATACCTACCTTATACAGTTGTGAGGATTAAATGAGATAAACCGTATAAAATGCTTGGCATAATGTCAAACACTTAATATATGTTACCTATTATCGTTACTATTAATGACTATCATTTCTTCACCTTAACTTGGTTTCTCTTCAAAATATAGACTAAAGGCAGTTACTACTTGAGGAAATCTATAAGATGCTTTAAAACTGAATAATTCATTTAGAATTCTTACTTCCAATGATTAAAAAACAAAACTTCCTAGTCCTTGCTAACATCTGGAAAAGTGGCATGAAACAAATATACACATCAAAGTGGCTAAGAATAAAGTCTCAGTATTAAACAACTTCTTACTTCTAATAAATATTATAAAGAAAGGATTTACCACTTTTCATCCAACCTCCATACATCCACCCTCCCCCCAAAGATACAAACCAGTTCATGGCTGATTATGTAGCGTCCCTCTGGTTATTATTTAGAATCTCCTCCTTTTCCTCTATTTTAAAATTGCACGCAAAAATATTCAAAGCTTTCAGATACCTGGATCTCTATAAGCCAGGTCACAACTAAGACTAACTGAGCCTACAAAGTAGTTCACACTGACCAGGTTTCCTTTCTGAGGTGCTTTTCTATTTTTATCTGAGAAAACAGGAAGTCCCATAGGAACCAGGAACTGCCTGATTCTAAGAAAGTTCATGTGTGAGACCAGTTTAAGTTAAAAGGTACAATAAAAAACAAGGCAAAAATGTATTCTTCTATCATCTAAAGGGATTTGGTAATGAATTTTCAGACATCATTTTTCTATAAAGCAATAGGGTTTTCATGCTGAGAAAGAAAAAATTTTGAAAAACAGAAGATCACAAGTACTCAGTAGGGGACTAGGAAGAGGAATATAGCTTAAAGATTAAATAAAATGTTAAGAATCAGAACATGCTTAGACTAAAAAGATACTTTTTAATAACACTAATTTTAATTAATGTAAAATTTGAACAATTTAAAATAAAGCCATATTTAGTTCAATATACTACCAAAAATCCTTTTGTCAATCTACTTAAAATAAATTGGTCAAACAATACTAAACAATGAGTATTTTATTTGCCCTCTATAAGAGTAATTCTAAAAAATATTAAAACATGCAATTCTAAAAACAGGTTTTAATATCTATGAAGAAAGGCCATGAGAGGACCATTTTTTGACTGCTTACAAATTTGCTTCTGTTAAAATTATTAAATGGAAAACTAGCTCTTCAAGTATCTCTATGAGAGTATTACTGTCGATTGTGGATGCTCTGCCACTAGACTGCTCTACTATGAGTTTCTCATGACAAGGGATCACATGTATTCACGTTCGTATGCTTGGAGCCAAGCATAGTACTGAACATACAGTCAGTGTTTGAAAAGTACTATTTGAGCTGTCTAGGCTAAATCTGCCCTTCTTTATTCTACTCTATGTGTTAACACTGAAGCAAAAGTGTTAAACTCTGCAGGAAGCTGGAGAAGGGTACGTTCTGAGCAACTGGAAAGGGAGAGGAATAGGATAACAAAGGGAAAGCCAAAGAGCAGAACAGTAATTCTTTTGAAAAACATTGCTCTGCCATTTGTATCTTTCTAAGTTTCTGTCTCTTGTCTAATAGGCTTAGATACCCGAGAGTATAACATACCTGAAAGCCAACAATATACATACCTACTGATAAAAAAATGTTCCCCAACTTCCTGTGACAACTGTCACCTATTAAATTAACAAAAGTAAATGTAGTCTTGAGGTTAAGTTTAAAAAGGAAACTCCATCTAAAAACAGCAATTTTAGCAAACCAAAAGCATTTTTATGCATCTAACTTTTATTCCCCTAAATCATTTCAGTATTTCTAAAACTACATCAGTACTTTTTATCTCATCCACATTACCTACAATTTCTAATGGATACAACAAATATTGTTACCCCTAGTGAAAACATTCCTCCCTCCCCCTGCTAACGAGGCAATTGTAGAGAAGAAACCATATTCCAAAAGCAATCTGCAGCAAATGCCACCTCATTTTTTAGCCTCTAAAAAATGGAAACAGAGTAAATTATAGTTCTTATCTCTTATCCTAAAGCAATGATAATGCCAAGTTGGTATTTCAAACTTGTTGTCCTCCTATAACCCTTACACCCCGAACAGCTTCTCATTACTGCTTTTTCTCAAATTCTCCTGGTGTGGCCATTTCTCCTTCATTTTTCTTTTTCAGATTATTTCAAACCTCAGATATACCAAACTTTTTTTTATAAATGTCCTTAAATTTTGACTTCTCTTCTTCGGACTATTAATCCTAATAACTGTAAAAATCAAAGTCCTAAAAATATTTCTTTAATTATACTACTAGACCCCTCAAAATCGTCCAATGATTTCTCATCACATTTTGCTTCAAGGAACTAATTCTAATCTTGTGATAGTTTCCTACTTACTTTCAAGACACATTGTTTCCTCTCCTTCTCTAAGCCTCTCTCTCACATAAATTGCAAAAAAAATGTTACTAGTTTTACTGATCCTTTCTATCAAGTGTAAACTCTTTTCCATTCTCTTAGGCTGAGATCAAACTGTCAACCATTATGAATTCCCAGACAAAAAAGGAAAAAATGAAGTATATTATAAATGTAGGTACATTGTTTTTTTTAGACATAATGCTATTGCACGCTTAATGGACAGTATAGTGTAAGCATAACTTACAGGCACTGGGAAACCAAAAAACTCTTGTGACTCCCTTTATTGCAATATTCACTTTATTACAGTGTCAGGAACCAAACCTGTAATATCTCCGAGGTATGCCTGTATTCGCAAAGTATATGTTTAATGTTGACCAAATGAACTGATGTCCTCCTCAGAAAGGCCCCATTTTGGTCACTCAGTGGCAATAAAGGGAAGAAAAGTCTGTGATGACCACAGTTCTTTTACAACTCAGAAAGAAAGATAAAGTTTATTCATTTAATAAGTATTTATTGAATAGTTTGTGCTAGGCACTGGAAATGTGGCTGTGAATAAAATAAATAATATCTCTGCCCTCAAGGAGCTTATATTTTAGAGGCGTTAGAAGAGAAAATGAGCAAATACACTTTTAAAATATATAATATGTCAAATGGTTCTAAGTGCTTTGGAAATAAAACAGCAGGA